CCGCGGGCCCGCGGCGGCGCGGCCCGGCTTCCCCTCCGCGTCCCTCCTCACCTCGCTGCGGAAAGGAGGCACCCAGCCAGACACCAGCCGCTCCGTAAAAACTCCTTTATGTTACAACGTTCGCGCTCACACCCGCCGCCGCCCGGCTGGGCGCACGTAGCCCGCCCACCCCAGCACACCCGGGGTGTGCGGGGGGTGTCTCTGCCGCCTCCGGGCCAGCGGCGCAGCTCCCCCGGGAGGGCTCTCCCTCTGCCGGGTTACTTGGGGACCCGCCGGAGCTCGCTCATGAGCCAGAGTGACACGCTGAGCAGCGCCAGGGAGCCCGACTGGTGCGTGGCGGCCAGAGGCGTGGGGACGTAGAGCAGCAGGGTGCTGATGCCCAGGCCCACCTGCCAAGGAGGGAGAAGCGGTGAGAGTGGCTGTGGATGCATCGCTGACACACAGCGCCAGCACACAGTATGATGTAAAGGCCCACAGCCAGACTTCCCACCCTCAAATTCAGACCGTGCGTTGCGGCAGAGTGAGGCCCCGGGTCTAGGCAGCTCCAGCTCTCAGGTCCTGGCTCTTGGGGGCCAGCATGGATCCAAGCACAGGACAGCTCTGTCTTGTGAACGTGCTACAAAGCACTAGGGGGAAAAAAAATAGGAAGGGAAAAAAAAAAAAGACAGTACCTGCATGCAAGCCACAGCCAACAAGGAAGTCACTGCCATCCTGGTCCTGCGAGGGAGTGGGATCTTCCGCGAGAAGAGGAATAATGCTGTGACTGCTGTAACCGAGGCAATTCCCTACAGAAGGGAAGAGAAGCAACCACCCTTCCGAGAAAAGTTCAAAGGAAATGGGTGCAGCATCCTTTGGCTGTGCCTTCCATACAGTAAAAGAAATTCTGTGATCTGTATTTAAATGTAGAAACATGTTAATGGCCATGACCAAATCCGGGAGCTCCCATGCCCGCCAGGTTAACAACTCTGAAATTTAGCTAAAGTTATAGATCTCTGTTCTTCTTCAAATTAATGCTTTACTTTCCAACAGCTTTTCCTCTTTCTTCAAGTCATCAGGGATTACTTCTGTCCTCTCCCCATCTGTCACCTTGACAACTAAAGGTGAAAGATGTCACCTGCAAAACTGATCTGACTTTTACCAGCCAGCTGTAGTTCACCAGCATAATCCTGCTGTGCAGGTCACCCTAGCTGACTCCTCTTATAAGTCACTACATCCTTCTTTTTAGTCCTGGTGATGTCTTAGTCCACAGCAGTGCCAGCAGAGGACTGCTCTAACTAGCAGGGATATTGTGTACTGGTGTAAAGCAAGTTCAAAAATACCGAAGGAAGCATTCAATATCGGGTTTGCCAAGTTTTATTTCACACAGCTTGCCCAGACATTTCAACAGTGAGGGCTGCCCTGGTCTGTAGCTCAGGTTATGGAAAAGGAGACACAAAGAAACAAAGTAACTTGTGCAGGAGGAAGATGTCCTTAAGGAAGGAGACCACAGTGTGAAAATAAATGAGTGCTAAACTTCCTCTTTCTGCAGCAGAAAATTGGTAACACACTCTCAGGACCTTTGGACACCCTGGATATCACTCAAGCTGACAGAACCATGGCCCAAAGAAGACAGCTTGGCTGCAGGAGGCAGCTGAGAAGCAGCACAGACATAGCAGGAAGACAGCACTTACCAAGATCCTGTGATCAAACTGTACAGTTGTAGGATTCTCAAAGATATTTCTCAGCACGGGGGAGAAGGCAAGGAGATCATCTGGGATCCAGCGCTCCCCCATTTTGGGGAAGGAATTGTACACAAGGCCAGCATCCAGCCCTGCCACAAAGGCACCTGCAATTCCAGAGCAGAAAATGAGACTACCAGAGTAGGCAAAAGTGGCAGTCCATGTTGCACAGCTCTGATTCCAGAGCTCAGCTTGATCCTGAATTTTGTTAAGAAACATATACAGAGATCACACAGCAACAGGTAGGCTGGAAGGTGCATCTCCACATGCTCAGGAAAAACCAGCAAGAGAGGTTCTTGACTGTAAGGTTCTTGACAGCAGTAAAGCTCTCCCAGAGAACATGATGGGGGTTACTGGCAGTCTCTGCCAGACCAGAACAAAAAACAGGGCAAAGGAATGAGCTGCAGATGGGACAGCAGAAAGAAACAGTCTCACCTGAAAGAGCAGTAAGAAAAATGAGAGCTGTAGTGCCATGAGCATATTGTCTCAAGCGAAGGAGCTGATGGGTTTCAGGTAACTGTAAAATACAAACAAAAAAAAAAAAATCAAGGCAAAGTATTCCCAGTGCTCTTTGCAGCAGGTAAGAAAAGCCTTCACTGCATATATAGGCTAAGGGGTTGTCCTGTATTTTACAGGGGGAATCTGGAGAACACCACACAACAGAGTCACACTTCAGTGGTTCCTCAAAACCACAACTAATCAATTCCAACCCCCTGCAGAAACTGAAGTCGTCACAGAGACAGTTACTGGCACAAATCACTTAGCCCAGCCAGGCACACCCCTGTCTGAGCTTGCAGGAACTCTGAGACTAATCACTTTTGAGTGGAACAGCAGGAGTCAAAGGAAGTTTACAGAAAGGGTAGTTTATTTTGTACCACAGTACTAGATCAGAGTCAGGAACAGACTAAAACAGAAGCACTATCACCCTTCATACCCTTTCCTCACCCTTCACATCACACCCCCAACCCTGTGAACTGACACTACCCTGTGCTTTTGACTCCCGACACCACTCTATACCTTGTGTTGCGGAAGCAGCAAAGACAGCCCTGTCCACAGACTAGCAGCGTACAGAACCAGCGCAGAGCCGAGATGTGCTGCAAGACGGTACTGACTGACCCGAGGAATGTCGTAAGAGTCTGGCTTCTCTTCCAACCCGCTCTTCACCATGTACCATCCCAGCAGCCCCTGACAAAACAGGAGAGGGGTTAGAGCCAGACAGAGCAGCAGCAGCAACTGCTAAGACTACATCATGGGCAAAGCAACTTGTTTCTTCCACCTTCAACCAGCTACCAGCACTGATGCTCCCCAAGCTTTCACAAATCCCACTGCCTCAACTACGCTCCATCAGAAGATATTCACAGGAGATGCAGCCACTAATCCCTGCAGCTACAGAGCTCACTCACCTGGAAGCAGACCAGCCCACAGAGCGCAAGAACGCAGCCCTTCATGGGGCGGCTGAGCCAGCCCTTTTTCCAGAAGTAGGCGGCAGGCAGAATGTAGGCCAAACCCACAACACGGCCCCACATACGGTGCGAATACTCCATGTACCAAATGAACTTGAACTCTGTCAGCGTCATGTCATGATTCAGGCTGTTAAAGACAGTAAAACGAAGAACTGTTTCATGTAACGCATCAGTCTTGTGCTGTACTTCACGTAGCATGGGATCACCTTCCTCAGAGAAAGGAAGAGGCAGTGAAGGAGCCTCCATCAGACAGGCTTTGTGTACCTTCCGCATGATGTTAGAAAACCTTTCCCTTCTTACAACTGTTCCTTGAGTGGCTCAGTCACAGGGGATGCTCCCAGCCCACCCTCTTTCCACTTCAGCACACTCACATTTTAAACTCTGGGAACTGCTGATACTTCTGGAACTCAGCTTCCCACTCCTGCTGCGTCCTCGGGGGTTTCATCTCTTTCACCAGGTGCCAGTCAACCATAGAAAGGCCCGATTCTGTCAGCCTGGGAGCAGGAACACAAGCAGGCACAATTCACTCCCTGGCAATGTGCAAACCTACCGAACCAAAACAAGAGCTGTTTGCTGCACCAGACAGCCCTTAAGCTGACAGTCAGAAACAGGATGGAAACCAGGGAGTCAGTGAGTGACCAGACTTAGAATTACCAAAGAACGTGTGAGAAAGTTATCCCCCACTGGCACCAACACACCACGGGCAGTGTCTCTGGTACTCCCAACCCTACCCAACTGTGTCCCTCTGTACCAGGAAGGGGGAAAGACACAAGAGGAGCTCTCGGGGGTGCACTCGGGGTGGGCCCCTGGCGTGGGAGGCAGCTGAGGGCCGCAGGGACAGCCTAAGCGGGCCACCGGCGGCAGGGACTGGAGGGCGACGGGAACGGAAGAGCGGCAGGGGCCGCCGCAGAACGGGGGCGGGCGAGGCTCACCCATGCTCGGGGTGGTTCCTCCTTCCACAAGGCCCGCGCACAGCTTCGCGCTGCCGCTCGTCCTCTTCTCCGCCTTCTGGGGCCTCGTGGGCATCGCCGCCCCCTGGTTCGTGCCCAAGGG